GTAGTTCCACTTTTCAAAAAGGGTGGGAGAGAGAAATCAGGCAGTACAGGGAAGTGAATCTCAAGTCAGTGGTAAGGGAATTTCTGGAGAAAATTCTGAAAGAAAGAATTAATCTCCACTTTATAGGCAAGGTTTGATCAGGGATGCTCAGTATGGCTTTGTCAGAAGGAGGATGTGCCTAACAAGCTTTGATTGAATTTTTCGAGGACGTGACTAGTTGTGCTGATGATGTAGTTTATATGGATTTCTGCAAAACCTTTGTTCAGGACCATGGGAGACTAAGAAAGAAGGTAAAAGCTTCTATGGGATCTAGGGCAACTTGTCAAGGTGGATCCAAAATTGGCTTAGGTGGTAGAAGGCTGTTTGCGTAACTGGAGACCGATGTCCAGTGCCATATCATGGGGATCAGTACTCAGCCCTTTTATTGTTCGTGATCTATGTGATATAGAAGAAAATGTTGTGGGGGGGGGAATGTTACAAAGACTTGATGGATGGTTGATAGTGAGGAAGCTGGTCTTGGGTGACAAAAGGATATGGGCAGATGAGTGACAGTTGGAATTTAACCCTGATAAGTGTGAGATGATGCACTTTGGAAGAAGTAAGACAACAAGGGAGTACTCAATAAATGGTAGGACACTAGGAATCCGAGAAATGGGGGGATCTTGGAGTGCTAATCCACACATCCCTTAAGGCAGCAGAACTTTGGTGAGGGCAAAACTGAAGTACTATAATACGAAGGATTTGAATGCACTGGAGTGAGTGTAGAGGAGATTCACCAGAGTGTTGCCTGGGATGGAGCAGCTCAGCTATGAAGAGAGGCTGGATAAGCTCAGGTTGTTTTCTTTGGAGCAGAGACGCTGAGAGGGGACCTGGTAAAGGATTATAAAATTGAGGGGCATGGACAGGGTGTCTAGGAAGCAGCTGTTCATTTTAGTTGAAGGGTCAGTAACAAGGTGCGTAATTTTAAGATGTAAAGCAGGAGGTTTGGGGTGGATTTGAGGAATTTTTTCTTGTACCCAGAGGGTGGTGGCAATTTGAAATGCTCTGTCTTGGAGGGTAGTTGAGGCAGGAAACCCAAACCTTTAAAAGTACTCAGCTGAACAAAGAACAAAGAAAATTACAGCACAGGAACAGGCCCTTCGGCCCTCCAAGCCTGCGCTGATCCCGATCCTCTATCTAAACCTGTCGCCTATTTTCCAAGGATCTGTATCCCTCTGCTCCCTGCCCATTCATGTATCTGTCTAAATACATCTTAAATGACGCTATTGTGCCCGCCTCTACCACCTCCGCTGGCAATGCGTTCCAGGCACCCACCACCCTCTGCGTAAAGAACTTTCCACGCATATCTTCCTTAAGCTTTTCCCCTCTCACCTTGAAATCGTGACCCCTAGTAATTGAGTCCCTCACTCTGGGAAAAAGCTTCTTGCTATCCACCCTGTCTATACCTCTCATGATTTTGTAGACCTCAATCAGGTCCCCCCTCAACCTCCGTCTTTCTAATGTAAATAATCCTAATCTACTCAACCTCTCTTCATAGCTAGCGCCCTCCATACCAGGCAACATCCTGGTGAACCTCCTCTTCACCATCTCCAAAGCATCCACATCCTTTTGGTAATGTGGCGACCAGAACTGTACGCAGTATTCCAAATGTGGTCGAACCAAAGTCCTATACAACACTTGAATAACATTCACAGCTATGGGCCAACTGCCAGAAAGTAGGACTAGTGTAGATTATTGTAGTTTCTTTTTTGGTGCAGACTCAATGGGCTGAAGTGCCTTTTTTATGTACTGTATAATTCTATGATTCTAAGGTCTGATTTGATTAAATGTAACAGCAGGAGCCTGAGCAAAATTGGAGATGATGGGAATCAGGGAAGTGGTTGCGGGGGAGACCTCCACTGGTTGATATCTTTCTTGTTAGGAAGATGGTGATTGTTGGAGGTCAGTCACCTCAGCTTCATGGTACCTCTGCAGGAGTTCCTCAGGTTAGTGTCCCATCTCCAGCTGTTTCATCAATGACCTGCTGTCTACCATAAGGTCAGAAGTAGGAATGTTTGCTGATGACTGCACACAATGTTCAGCGACATTCAAAACTATTTAGTTCCTGAAGCAGCAAAACCTGGAGAATATCCAGATTTGGGCCAACAGGTGCCAAATAACACTTGTGCCACAAAAGTGCAAGATAATGACTATCTACAACAAGAGGCAATCCAGAAGAATCTACCCATTCGCTCTTTGAGATTCAATGTCATAAACTTCCCCGAATCTCCCACTGTTATCCTCCTGGGCGTTGTCATTTGACCAGAAACACAGCAGGACAAGCCATGTGAATACTGACTTGGACTATAAATCCTGCATTGAGTAACTCATTACTTGAGTCACGAAAGCCTGTCCACCATCTGCAAGGCACAAGTAATGAATGTGATGGAATGCTGTTGTCTGGATGAAGACTGCTCAAACACTCGAGAAGCATCCAGGACAAAGCAGCCCACTTGATTGACACCACATCCACAAACATTCAGTCCCTCCAACACCAATGCTCAGTAGCAGTAGTGTGTACCATCTATTAGATGTGCTGAGGAAATTCACCAAGGCTCCTTAAACAGAATCTTCCAAACCCACAGCAGGATACATAGTTATGCCATCACCTTCAAGTTTCCTTCCAAGACACTCACCATCCTAACTTGGAAATACATCAGCACTCTTTCACTTCCAATGGATCAAAATTCCCTCCCCAGTCACACTTTGTGTGCACTTACAACAAATGCACGGCAGCAGTTCAAGAAGGCAACTCAGCATGACTTTCTCAAGGGCAATTAAGAATGGGCCCAGCCACTGAAAGTGCCTACTGCCTGAATGAATTAAAAAAAAAACTAGTGTACTTTCTATTTTGTACATACAAATGGCCAAACGGCATAAGCAGCAAGTGATAGAGCTAAGTGATCCTACAATCAATGGATCAGATCTAAGCTCTGCAGTCCTGCTGTGACTGGTGGTGGACAATTAAATAATTCATGGGGGAAAGAGGCTCCACAAATATCCCCATCCTCAATGGACGTCAGCTCAAAAGATAAGGTGAAAGCAGTCTTCAGCCAGAAGTGCCAAGTGGATGATCCGTCTCTGTCTCCTCCAGTGGTCCCCAGCATCACAGATACCAATCTTCAGCCAATTCGATTCACTCCACGTGATATCAAGAAACGGTTGGAGATGCTGGATACTGCAAAGGCCGTGGGCCCTGACAACATTCTGCCTACAGCACTGAAGGCTTGTGTTCCAGAATTTGCCGTTCCCCTAGCCAAGCTGTTCCAGCACAGTTACAACACTGGCATCTACCCGACAATGTGGAAAATTGCCCAGGTATGCCCTGTATATGAAAGGCAGGACAAATCGAATCCGGCCAATTACCGTCCCATAAGTCTACTCTTCATCACCAGTAAAGTGATGGAAGGAGTCATCAACAGTGCTATAAAGCAGCACCTGCTCAGTGACGCCCAGTTTGGGTTCTGCCAGGGCCATTCAGCTCCTGACCTCTTTACATGGCTAAAACATGGACAAAAGAGCTTAATTCCAGAGTTGGGATGAGAGTGACAGCCCTTGACGTCAAGGCTGCATTTGACTAAGTGTGGTGTCAAGGACCCCTAGCAAAACTGGAATTGATGGGTATTGGGGGGATAAATTCTCCAGTGGATGGAGACATACCTGACACATAGGAAGATGGTCGTGGCTATTGGAGGTCAGTCATCTCAGCTCCAGGACATCTCTGCTGGAGTTCCTCAGGGTGGTGTCCTAGGCCAAATCATCTTCAGATGCTTCATCAATGACCTTCCTTCCATCGTGAGGTCAGAAGTGGCGATATGCAGTCATTGGCGACCAATGTTCAGGACCATTTGTGACTCCTCAGATACTGAAGCAGTCCATGTTCAAATGCACAAGATCAGGACAATATCCAGACTTGGGTTGAAAAATGGCAAGTAACATTCGTACTACACCAATGCCAGGCAATGACTGTCACCAATAAGAGACCATGAAACCACTGCCCTTGACATTTAATGGTGTAACCATCACTGAATCCCCCACTATCAACTCCCAGGATGTTATCATTGACCAGAAACTCATCTGGATTCACCGCATAAACATAGTGGCTACAAGAGCAAGTCAGAGGCTAGGAATACTGCAGCAAGTAACTCACCACCTGACTCCCCAAAACCTGTCCACCATCTGTCTACAAGGCATATGTCAGGAGTGCAATGGAATACTCCCCACTTGCCTGGATGAGTGCAGCTCCAACAACACCGGAGATGCTTGACACCATCCAGGACAAAGCAGCCCGCTTAATTGGCACCACATCCACAAGCGTCCACACCCTCCACTACCGACATTCAATAGCACAGTGTATACTATCTGCAAGATGCACTGCAGAAATTAACTAGAGACCCTCAGATAACACCTTCCAAACCCATGACTTTCATCTAGAGGGACAAGGTCAGCAGATGCACAGGAACACCACCACCTTCACGTTGCCCTCCAAACCACTCACCATCCTGACTTGGAAATACATAGCCATTCCTTCACTATTGTTGGTTCAGAATCCTGGCGTTCCCTCCTTAATGGTATTGTGGGTCAACTCACAGTAGGTGGACTGCAGCGGTTCAAGAAAGCAGATCATCACCACCTTATCAAGGGCAACTAGGGATGGGCAATAAATGCTGGTTAGCCAGCGCCGCCCACATCCCACAAATGAATATTTAACAAAACGTATAATGTTGAAACTATTTTCTTCTGTTGGTCTTTGAATAGAGCTTTTCATGATTTGTGGGAGCATGCTGTACACAAATTAGTTCCCTTAGTTTCTACATCACAGGTATGACCCCACTTTTTAAAATAAAAATTTACCTGTCAAGTATTAGGATGCTCATTTGTTGTGAAAAGCACTACATAAGTACCAGATGTTTTCCTAATTGTTGTGAAATTTTTTTTCCTTTTTTTTTTTGCATGGAAAGCTTGATGACTCCATAATTGCTAAGGAACTGGAAGTTTCAGAATCTGAGCATTCTGACACTGAGGTATCATATGCTGACAATGGAACTTTCAACTTATCCCGAGGACAGACACCGATAACAGATGGCTCTGAAGGTAAGTTCTTCAGTTTTGATGGATGTTTGTTTGAATGTGTTATTTTATTGTTCAACATGTAGAAAATTGCATTATATGCAAACATTTTTGATTAGGTGAATTTTGATAGATTATGTGAAACATGTCAAGTATATTCTGGTGCCCTGATGATGTTCCACACTACAGAAGATAGTAATTAATTCACTTAATTTTTCTTTCTCCCAAGCTGAGTCATCGCTTTTACTATGGTATAGCATGATGATTGATTCAGGGTCTTTTTGAATTGATATTAAGTACTTGTTCAGGGATATAGCACTTTTTAATGATCTATCATGACATGTAAATTCTTCTAGACTACTTCAAATTGGTGGAACTATTGGACTTCAGTTGAGTCGAAACATTAGTCTTCCCTTTGTTTACCTCCTGTTACTATCAAGACTCAAGCTCAGCAAATCGATTTCAGCATTCACTGCAGTTAATACAAGTAATACAGGACTTTATTTGTTCATGCGATGTGGACGCCATTGGCTAGGCCAGTGTTGGATGCAGTTTTTGATTGCTAGTCCAGTGATAAATCCTCATTGTTTAATCCTGTCTACTGAAAGGAAAGACTTTGGAGGACAAAGGAGGGGTGCAGTTTTTTTTTCCTTATTTGTTCATGGGATGAGGGCATTGCTGGCTAGGCAGCATTTATTGCTCAGAGGGCAGTTAAGGGCCAACCACATTGCTGTGGTTCTGGAGTCACATGTAGGCCAGACCAGGTAAGGATGGCAGATTCCTTTCCTGAAGGACATTAGTGAACCAAATAGGTTTTTCCCGACAATCAGCAATGGATTTACGGTCATTATTAGACTCTTAATTCTAGATATTTATTGAATTCAAATTACACCATATGTCGTGGAGGGATTCGAATCTGGGTCCCCAGAACATTATCTGGGTCTCTGGATTAACAGTTCAGCGATAATACCACTAGGCATCACCTCCCCTCATTGTACATTACATGAGTAAAAAAAGCTCCCAAATTAATGTGATCCTAAACAAAAATGAAACTCATAATAAAGCAGCATAGTAAAATTTGGTAAATAATTATTAGACATTTTATTATCACATTTTGTAGATCACCATATCCTGGGACTCCCTCCGTACAGGTAGGGTCTACCCACAGCGCATGAACTGTAGTGGTTCAAGAAGGCAGCCCACAACTATCTTCTCAAGGACAGCTATTGGTGTGCAATAAATGCTAGCCCAGCCAGCGATGCCCGCATCTCTCAAATTAATACAAATCATTTAAATATGAAAATATTTATTTTTAACATACTTCATCAAAATTGGATTTATTCATGTAAGTTTCAACCAAACCCTCTTCCAAGTTGGCACAGGACTCCATGAAGCCCTTCTGCCCCCAACCATGCCACCCCACACATTATAATCAGCTCATCTTTGCCCCTACCAAACACCCACATCCCTTTTCCCAACCAACTGAGCACTCACACACACTCTCATGTGCTCCCTCCTTGATTGTTAGATTCAAGAACAGCATCTTCCCCGCTGTTATCAGACTTTTGAACGGACCTCGGCAATGTTAATGTTGATCTCTCCCTCTGCACGTTTTCTGTGGTAATAAGACTGTATTCTGCACTCTGTTCTGCTACCTGATGCACTTTGTATGGCACAATCCACCTGTAGAGCATGCAAAACAACACTTTACACTGTATCTTGGTACATGTGACAACAACAATCAAACCAAATTCTCTCCCATCTAGCACCCCCTTCTCAACAACTCATGCACTCTTTCCACTCACTCCCTCCTTTTCCTCCTTGTTGTCCTCTTTATCTCTCCCTCCAAGATTTGGATAGAGGGAACACGAGTGACTGACCCACTGTACCTTTTTAATTGTTTCGTTGAACCAAGTTTACGTCCATCTGGTCCTGTGTTTGGATTGAATGTCAATGATTCCGTGAAAGTCCAGTCCCTCTTGAGCCGCCTTCAGCTGTTCCGTCTTCAACCCACCCTGATCTCATTCTCGCCTCAGTGGCAGCATTGACTTCAGCGGACATAGCATTAAATTGAGGAAGACGCTTTGGAGACCGCTGGGGGAAACAACAGTACTGAAAGTGTTTCAGAGATAGTAGGAACTGCAGATGCTGGAGAATCTGAGATAACAAGGTGTAGAGCTGGATGAACACAGCAGGCCGAGCAGGAAAGCTGACATTTCGGGCCTAGACCCTTCTTCAGAAATGACCCTTTCTGAAGAAGGGTCTAGGCCCGAAACGTCAGCCTTCCTGCTCCTCTGATGCTGCTTGGCCTGCTGTGTTCATCCAGCTGTACACCTTGTTATCTTAGTACTGAAAGTGTGGCCTTTTCAGCTTCAGAAATTCAGTCAGATTAATGGCAGATTCAACATTACATGTTGAATGAGACAGCTCCTCCAGACCAGGCAGAGGGTGGGATCAAAAAGGCACAATTCTGTTTTGTCAAAGTCAGAAATCTGCTGTGCGTGGAAACTTCCTTACCTCTGCACTCATCATCAAAAAAATAATTTGCAGTGGTAGGAAGTACAATGAAGATTGGTTACTAGATTGGTTCCCAGGATAAAAGGGTTATCCTATGAAAGGCTGAGTAGATTGAGTCTGTATTCTCTGACGTTTAGTAGAATGACAGGTGACCTCTTTGAAATGTTCAAGATTTTGAAGGGAATTTAAACTGAACACTGAGATGCTGTTTACCCTGACTGGGAATCTAGTAGATGGGTCATAATCTCAAAGTAAGAAGTTGATCATTTCTTCATTCAAAGGATTATAAATCCATGGAAACGTCTGCAAGGGACAGATTTTTGGTCCCTCTGAATTGAGGAAAGTGGACAATGACTGGGAAAGTAGAATTGAGGCTGAAGATCAATTGTGTGCTTGTTGAATGGCAGTTTGAGGGACAGTGTGGCGTACTTCTCCTATTTCTTATTTTCTTAGAGTGTAAGTTCACTGCAATCCTTTAATAACCGCATATCAGAAATATGTGAAGTGAATACTTCATTAAACGATATTTCCTTTTGTACTTAGATCTTGATCGTCATAGTGACCCAGAGGAGTCATTTGCAAGAGATCTACCAGAATTCCCATCAATAAACCCAAATGTGGCTGGGTTGGATGATGATGATGATGATACCAGTCTGGGTATTCCAACAGCTCCCTACCAAGCTTCGGCACAGGAAGACGTGAGCTTGTTTTCTGATCAGGAGGATATTGATGTAGATATATCTCTCAGTGCGCTGCCATTACCCCTGAATTTCACAGGCAGCCAAGGTTTAACTCTGGCAGGGGCACTAGCCAGTAATATGATGGCAGCTGCATTATCAGGAGCAGATCAAGAGGTCCAAGTGGTGAGGGACAATCCTCCAAAGTTTGCTTCACAGACCTGTCATGAACACTCAGGTACAGAAATGGACACTGATGCAGAGGGGGATGATTTTGAACTGTTGGATCAGTCAGAGCTGAATCAATATGAGAATATCACTTCACAGGATCGAGCCTCAAGGCAACAATCAAAGTCAGGTTTCCTTTCAAACTTCCTCCGAAAACAGTAGGTTTGTGGGTGTTGGTGTTGCCAAATTACATCACACTGGACCCAGTAGAAATTCATTGGAAGGCAAGGTTTCCATAATCCTCTTGTTGCAATCACACTGTCTGTTGTTCTTGCTGCTGTTGTGCATAGTTTAAAATAGTGATTGCCTCAGTGGTTACTACTTCTTCCTCATGGCGGACAGAAATTCGCAGCTAAGAGAGATGTAGAATGCTGTCTGCCTCTGCAAGTTTGTTTGGTGCCCCTTCTAGTTCATTTGGTTTGAAATGTTATCATCCCAGAAAGGTTATTGTAAGGGATGAAGAAGCCATCCTGCACATCTGCACTTCCAAAATTGTGTTAATCATCACTAAGTGTTGTTGATTTTTGACTTGGCACAGTTACCATTTTAGGGGATAGAAGTTCTTTATTCATGAGGTATTTTTGGTGGATATTACTTGTAGACTGCACCATTTTTATTCATAGAAGTATTTTCTGCGTTTCTGTTTCGAAAAGTGGAAACTAACCAACAAATTTTGTCAGCAAGCAAGGTGTGGAGTTGGTGCAGGGTAATCCAGTCATCATTTGATTAGTTGAATTCTAGAAAATACCATTTAGCACTTAGTGACAATGATTAGAGTTGTCCAATAAAAAGACTTAAAATCCACTCTCCAGCATGTGTGATGTATTGAGCAACAAAATTCATCATCGGCAGCAATTAATGTTGCTATTGTTCATTTGGGATAGAAGGGCTGGAAAAATTCCAGGATTAAAGCTTTGAGCGTTATCCTGCCAGAGACAATAACTAAATTGTTCAGAAGAAGAGGACGCTGAGGTTTTTGGGAACGTATACATAGAGTAAGCTTTGCCGTTCTATTTATCCATCTCTGTACAGAAAAGTTCATAATATAGCAAAACTGAACAGATAAGGAATAGACTATTTATGTAATTGAGGCTTGGTTTCTAAAACCCTAGTGAGGTTTGAGTGAGGAGATCTGTGGGATTTTGTGTGTTCATCTTTAACATTGTAAATTGATTAATTCTAGGCAATGCAATACTTTTTGAGTTTAACTTGATTTTTAAATACACTTTAGATGCTGCAAACTTCTCCATTTCATTTTGCTTTTGATTTCTGTGACCTTGCAGCTCTTTGCTGCAGTTACACTATTTTTAAATTCATTTCAATTTAATTTTTTTCAAGCTGTTTCTTAAGATCAGTACATTCTACAGTTCTCATTGGTGACCAGCTTTCCACTTCTAACTGTTATGCCTAAAATGTACATGACCAGAATTAAGGGTTCAAAAACAGCTGAGATGAGTGTGGGTTGTATGGCATGAGCTAACACTGGGTACTGATAGTAGATTGAAATACTTTTTGTGTGGAATGTCCAAAGACTCAAGCTGTGAACAAGAAAGGGAGCTGTGTCTTTTGCCTGTTTTTAAGGGCATCAGCGATGTAACTATAGTAATGGATTGGATGGTGGAAGGAGCTGGGCTGGTTTACTGGACCTCTCTGACTCTGCATTGATGTAGCATCTATCATTTTTCCAATAGCTGAAATCCAAAACTTGATAAGTATGGAATTCAGTGTTATACCTGTGTTAGTTATCAGTGGATAATGCAGACAGTATTCTGCTCCCATTTAGAATATTTAGCTTCCCTGTAAGCAAAAGCAGTCTGACTGCAGCAATTAAAATGCAATGTTACATTTGCTTTCTTCCATTTGCTCAAATAGAGAAAGAAAAAGTAAATAAAATATTTTATGAAATAGAAATTTAACATTGCACTGAGTGACATCACAATTTAATGGATTGGGATGTGGTGTAACCCAAAACCATGCACAAATCGTTTTAAAGCTTAAATTTTTTGAATACATGTTCATTATCTTTTAGAACTTTTTAAAAAATGAAATATTTGATATTGTAAGGCATTACTTTGTTCTGTTGTAGCTTTTTAGTGCAAAATCAAAATACTGCACATCCTGGAAGTCTAAAGTAAAAACAAATTGTTGGCAGCAGCATGTCAGGCACCACTGGAGAACAGAACAAACATTTCAGGTTCATGACCTCCTTGTATTACACTTTCTAATATTCTGCTCTACTTACGCACTTATTGAGAGACTGAGTGATATTGTTAATGTTATACTGGGTTAGCAACTTGGCGAACAGGTAGCACAGGAAACACTCGCTTACTTACTACAACAGAAACTAAATAACATCCATCATTCTAATTTACAGATTATTAAGTGCAGACACTATTTTGGAAGTAATCTGTCCTCCTTTTCATCAGTGAGCTAGCCCTACGTGGAGTAAATGCAAATTTTAGGGCAATGCAGCTGCTACATGCACCATACCTGTTGCAAGTGTTTTGGGCAATGATCCTTGGTCCATTTTTCCCAGCAAAGTAATTATAGTCATCACTATTTAGACTGAGCCAGCTTTTTCCATTGTAAAGGGGAAGTGTATTTCACAGGATTCCACTTGCATCTGAAATTGAAAGTGGCAAACAATTGATCCCTCAAATCTTTGAAAATTGTATGAAATTATGTACATATTGATCTGTTTAAAAACTTTTTAAAAAATTTAGTGATGAGCTTAAGCTTTGAGTTTTTTTTGAGATGACATCTCTCTGAGGACTCTGTGGTGTGTTTAAAACCTATTGCAGCCTGAATATTTTCATTAGAAGCCCAGACAGTTAGAACCGATAGTTAAATAATGCAAAATGCATTTAACTGTTGTGAGATATGTAAACGTGTATTTTTGATGTTGTATGATCCTCAATGTCACTTGTGTATTTAAATATTTCAAAATGTTAATTTTCAGAGTTTATAACTGACCTGATTCATTTGAAAGTTTTGTAGAAAAGTCATTGTTTATTTTTGAACCATTCATTAAAACAAATTTCTAAAAATAAGAATGGAATTGTGTAGTTGATTTTTAGTTGTATGTATGTCTGTTATTTATTTCTAAACTGAGTTTTGACCTGTCCATATGCCTGTAACTGTTTTATTTCAGGTATTACTTTCTGTTTTTATGGTTTCTCCATAATCCTGCTTCTGCCATTGCTGCTGTGTAACCTGCTACGATGAGATTTAATGTTCATCGCTGTCTTCCTACACGCAGGTGCATGAGCTACCTGAACTGCATTGAATTAATTGTGTGAAAAACAACTATATATTTTCACTCATGTCCATCAGCCAACATCCTAATCTCCTACTCCGTGCCTTTGCTACCCTTGAAGTGTTGTATACAATGATGCTAAAAGTGATGTAGTGATAGTCAGGAGTGTTGTACTTGACTTTTCTGATTCGTGGTTTCATGTAAGATCAAAGTAGTATGAAATTGCTTTTGGTACTGCAAAATATGAGGGTGTTGCTGGCTAGTCTAGCATTTGCTGTCCATCCATATTTGACCAGAGAGAAGTCAATCACACTGTTGTGGATGTGGAGTCACAGACTAGGTAAGGATGACAGTTTCTTTCCCTAAAAGACATCAGTGAACCAGATGGATTTTTCTGACAATCGACAATAGTTTAATGGTTGGCATTAGACTCTCAATTCCAGATTTTTATTGAATTCAGATTCCACCATCTCCCATTGTGGGATTCGAACCTGGGTCCCCAGAGCATTGCCTGGATCTCGGGACTAATAGTTGAGCAATAATATCACTGGGCCAATACCTCCTCAAAATAAAAAACAGAAATTGTTTGAAATGTTTTGTCGGTCAGCAACATCTGTTGGAAGAAAATGGGGCTAATTTAATTCTCCATCCATGATATCCGGCCTGCTGGATGTTTTTAGTGATTTCAGATATCACTTTAAGATTCCAGCATCTGCAATATTTCTCTTTTGAAGGTGAAATAAACCTGTAATACCTAACTATCTCTGTCATCTGTATGAGTTTAAGTGTGTGATTTATGTATATTTTAATATCATTTATTTTAGAGTTTAGACATTGAACTAGTGGCACTGGGATTTTGGTCTGTGTATGAGGGAGTATAATGATTAACTTGTAAGTATTTCTGGAGCCATGAACTTTTTTTTAAACCAGAGAGGGGTCTCTGGGGTGATGTTGGGGATTGGCTTGCACTGGGGGAGTTTTATAAGTAGACAGAGTAAACATTGAGGAGCTTGCTTTCTGTTTTGGAATGATTAGGAATTTTTTATTTTGCTTAGGGGAAATACTCATTTCTTGGAAAGCTTTTGTTTGTAAGTTCTCAGAAGTCATGGTTGAAGTTAGACGTATGAAACCATTTCTCCTGAAGAATCCGTTTAGAACCATCAGGGAACGTGTCAATTAAGTGTAAGGAGTTTAGCTTGAAAGTTCCAGATGGTGTTCAGTTAGAACCCCAAAGGGGTCACTTGAAATTGAGAGTCTAAGCTCGGTTGTTGGACTAATTAAAGAGGCCACCAAACTCTCAAGACCAGAAATTGAAAGAAACAATTAAGTTAAATCGATAGATGGGAGAGAGAAGTGAATGCTCTCTATTTGAGAACTGTAAAGTGATGCTGTTAGGATAGATGGGATTGTACTGTTCTGTGTCTTGAACTATTTACAATTGTGAATAGCTTGATTTGTACTTTTCATATTCTCTTTTGCATTATAAACTTCTGTTTTATTGTTACAACAAAATCTACTCCATTTCCGTAAAAGGTCACCTTGTTGACTTCTTTTTAAAAAGAGCAGCCCAATGGCTCAGTGGTTAGCACTGCTGCCTCACAGCAGAGTTTGATTACACCCGCGGGCAACTGTCTGTTTGGAGTTTGCACATTCTCCCTGTGTCAGTGTGGGTTTCCTCCGGGTGCTCCGGTTTCTTCCCACAGTCCAAAAATGTGCAGCTAGGTCGATTAGCCATGGAAAATGCAGGGTTACAGGGATAGGATAAGGTAAGGGGGGTGGGGTTTGGGTGGTTTGCTCTTCAGAGGGTCGTGATAGGCTGAATGGCCTGCTTTCCCCATTGTAGGGATTCTATGGATCAACTACAACACCCGGGCGATGCTGCAAAGAACAAGCTCTTAGGGCAGCATGATGGCTCAGTGGTTAGCAATGCTGCCTCACAGCGCCAGAAACCCTGGGTTCGATTCCATCCTCTGGCGACTGTCTGTGTGAAGTTTGCATGTTGTCCCTGTGTCTGCGTGGGTTTCCTCCTAGTGCTCCAGTTTCCTCCCACAGTCCAAAGATGTGCAGGCAAGGTGGATTGGCCGTGCTAAATTGCCCACAGTATTCATGGATGTGTAGATTAGGTGGGTTATAGGGGGATGGGTCTGGGTAGGATAATCTGAGGGTCGGTGTGGACTTGATGGGCCGAAGGGCCTGTTTCCACACTGTAGGGATTCCAAGATCTATGAAAAAATAGTCTATCAAGCTAGGATCTGAATTATTCAGTAGTAATTTTAGCTGGGATCATAACTGGACGTTCAGTGCTACATAGAACACTGGAATTGGATAAGGCTATTAGCTTTTGTTTCATAGATTCCCTACAGTGTGGAAACAGGCCCTTCGGCCCAACAAGTCCACACCGACCCTCGGAGCATCCCACCCAGACCCATGGAATCAAACCCAGGTCCCTGGCGCTGTGAGGCAACAGTGCTAACCACTGGGCCAACATGCCGCCCTGGGTTCTTGTGCCTGTTCTTCCATCACCTTGATAATGGCTGATTTCTATGTTAACTCTATCTACCTATTTTCATTCCAAAATGCTGGGGAGATGGTGATGTAGTGGAAATGTCACTGGGCTAGTAATCCAGACAACCAAGCTGATACCCCAGGGGCATGAATTCAATTCTAACCGTAGAATTTAAATATCGTTAATAAAAGCTGGAATTTCTAAAAGTTAATCTTGTTTAATGGTGACTGTGAAACAATCATTAGTTGTTGCTAAGTGCCCAGCTATTTCACTGGTATCCTTTAGGGAAGGAAATCTACTAATCAGTATTTCATTTTGGAAACTGGCAAGGGCAGTTGATCCTTCGATCCAAGCCCATGCACATGGTGACACAGCTGTAATGGGGTTGGGGGAAGAATGCAAGCGCAGTAATTATAGGGAACTCTTCAGCTGATCAGACAGATGTGGCAGTAAATGTGACTCGAGATGATGTTGCTTCCCTGGTGCCGGGATCAAAAATGCTACAGAGCAGCTGCAGGACAAGCTTCTGGGGTGGGAGATCAGCCAGAAGCCGTGGTCCAAGGTACCAATAACATACTTAGGAAGGGGAATAAATATATGGCTGGAGAACTAGTATAAGAGGGAAGGCATCAGATTTCTGAGGAATTGGGACTGGTTCTGGGGCAGGTATGGTACAAGCTTGACAGGTTACACCTTGATGAGATTGGGAATTATATCCTTGCGGGGAGATTTACTAATGCTTTTAGGGTGGGTTTAAACTAGCTTGTCAGGGTTAGAAACCTGAAGGGTAACCCAAATTGAAAGGAGGTGAAATTGGTAACATGATTTGAAAAAAAATGCTAGGGAGACTAGGAGACAGGAGAAACAAGTCAAGGGAATTATTAAGTTAAGGGCACTCTACCTGAATGCACAGAGCATTCATAAAAAGGTTGAGAAACACAAATAGAGAAAATTGGGTATGATGGAATTGCCATTGCAGAATATGGCTGCATGGTTGCCAGGACTAGATACTGGAGAGCTGATTGTCGACGTACACTTAAGTTTTCAAAAGGTTTTTGATAAAGTTCCCCTTGGGAGGCTGGTTGGAAACATTAAAGCACATGGGATAGCAGGTAATATGCTGTCCTGGATTAATGATTAGCTAACAGATAATTGGTCATTCTCACATTGGCAGGCAGTGACTGGTAAGAATCAGGATTTGGACCCCAGCTGTTCACAGTACATATATCAACAGTTTGCTGGTGAGGTCTAAAAGTAATCACAAATTTGCAGATGATATAAAGCTAAGTGTGTGATGAGGAAGATGTAAAGTGGCTAGGAGAATTTGGACAGACTTAGTCAATGAGCTAGAACAGGGCAGATAGAGTATAATGTTGAAAAATAAGAGATTATCTACTTAAGTAGGAGAAACAGATGTGCAGGATATTTCTTAAATGCTGAAAGGATGGAAAGTGCAAATGTTCAAGGGTATCTTTGTGAATGAGTCACTGCAGGATAACATGCAGGTGCAGTAAGCTATTAAGAAGGTTAATGGAATGATAGCCTTTATTGTAAGAAAACTTGAGTACAGGAGTAGTAAAGTCTTACTTCAATTGCACAGCATCTTGGTTAGACTGTGCCTGGAGTAATGTAGTTTTGGTCTCCTTATCTCAGTAATGATATTCTTGCCGTAGAGGGAGTGCAATAAAGATTCACTAGACTTATTCCTGGGAAGGTGAGGCTGTCTCGTGAAGAGAGATTGGGCAAACTGGGCCTGAATTCTCTAGACTTTCAAAGAATGACAGATGATCTCATTGAAACTCAGAAAATACTTATTGATTGACAGGGTAGATGAGGTAATATGTTTCCACTGATTGGGGAGTCTAAAACTAGGAGGCTTTTTTTTTAGAAAAAATAAGCAGGATGCTATTTAGAACCAAGATGAGGTTTCTTTTTACTCAAAGGATAGTGTACCTTTGGAATTCTCCGCCACACAGGGCTGTGGAAACTCAGTCAGTCCTTAATCTGAGACTGTGACCCCTAGTTCAAGACCCCTCAACCAGGGTAAAGTGCATAAACACTACATCAGCCATGTTACCTGATCAAAGTCTTGGACGAAATTAGGGAGACATAATATTCCTTAGACAAGTCTGTGCTGGCTTTCCTTAATCCACACTTAGTCCAGATATTTTAAAGCTTTTAAAAACTAAATACTGGTGGGGTGAAGGAGGATGTCGGTACAGAAGGATGATATAGATTGACACAGGGAATGAGGAGGTATTTGAAGTTTTGGCAGGCTTAAGTGGACA